CTAGCTTCAGCGGGCAAGGAAAATTCCCATATATTTTATAACTTTTTTATAAAAATGTATAAGTAAGTCTTATTTATAGTTCATGTCCCTCACATAAAATGTTCTTTTTTCCTTACTTTTTAAAATTTAAAAATTTTTTTTTTATATTTTTTCCTAAGTGAAGGGTAAAAGAATAAAAAAAGGGACAAAACCGTAACTGGACTAAAGCTCAAAAAACCTGCACAAAAAAAAAAGGGAAAAGAATCTCAAAGACCAAAATTTTGGGCCGATTTTTAAACATTTTAAATGATGAAAGAGTCTGACTTTGTTAAAAGATCCAAGTCTACCCGAAACTTCGTCCCCTAAGTTATATTCTCGTATTTCGGTTTATTTGGAAGATATGTAAATGAAGTAGTGGTTCACTTTGGGGTCGTCATGGAGACAAAGAACTTTTCCGTGGAAGCAAAGAGGGGAATTTTTGAGAGAACCCGTTTTTACCCAAACCCTTAATGGTTGAAGCTTTGGTTTATGAATGTTCCCGCGAGGAGAAGGGGGAGGGAGTGGAGATGTCATTTCCCGAGGGGAACGTGTGGGTGAATATAAAGCAGAGAATTCGTAAATTTGGAAAATTTGTAGAAGGTGTGGGGATTGTGAAAACATTTCCAGAGGGCTGAGGAGGGGTTTTTTGAGGGGGTTTCGGCCTGTGAGAGAATGGAACAAAACAAATACTTTGAGAGTGTTAAATCTGTAGTGGGGAAGGCGGGTAAAGGGGCGGGCTAGGGAAAGGGGGGAGGGGGGGGTAAAGGGGGTTTTTTTTGCGGGGCTTTGGGCTTCCCCCCCCCCAAAAGGGGTGAGCGTTTTGATAGGAGTGGAAAGGAGGCAAAAAAATTTTTTTTAAAACTTGACGTACTGTTGGAGTGGGGAACACAGTAACTTTTATGAAGGGCAGGGAAAACCCCAGGCCGGACTTTGTCCTGGAAGGGGAAATACAGTGTCTTTACCTGAAGGGTAAATTTTAAAGTTTGCAGTTTTTTTAAATGTAAGGGGTAAAGTAATCACCTCCCGGGAAGACAGTGGAAAGGAGTGAAAAGGGAAAAAAATTTTTTTTTTTTTCGGGCCATCCCCGCCTTGGTGGGGGCCCCCCGCCTTGGTGGGGCCCCCCTGCCTTGGGGGGGCCCCCCTGCCTTTTTGGGGCCCCCCTGCCTTTTGGGGGGCCACCCCTGCCTTGGTGGAGTCGGCCCCCGTGTTTTAAAAAATACAAAAAAAAATTTTCTGAAGTAAAGTACATTGCCCCCTTAAAATTTACAAGCTTCTTTGTATAATTTTTTTTGGGGTCTAATCCTCGTTTCCTTTCCCCCGCCCAAAAAATTTTAAAATTTAAAAAGTCTTTGGGGGGAAATATAGATATTTAAAAAACACACCGGGAAAACGACTTAATTTCCCAAACCCCCTCGTTACACTGTACTTTTAAAAAACCTTTAAAAAAAAGAAGACTTGAGAGAGAACAGACACTGGGGGGGTTTTTAATCCTGTTTGGGCCAAAATTTTAAAGTCCGATATATTTTAAAATTGTGTTTAAATTTTTTTACAACTTGGGAAAATAAACACTACCAAAATTTAAATTTTTTTCCATTTTTTTACAAATTAACTTTGACGACTGAACAAAGAAACTGTCATTGTTTAATCTCTGTCACCTTTTAAATTTTTTTTCAAATCATAAGACAAAATTCTGGCTACTTTAGGTCCAAAAGAACCACATGATATATGTTTTTTTTTAATTTACACAAACCACAAACACACACACAAAACACACACACAACAACACACACACACCAAAACCACACATATATTAAAAATAAATATAATATATATATAAAATATATAAAATATAAAAATAATTTTATATTTCCTAAAGTCTTTTAAATATTTGCCACCGGTGCAAATTTTCCCCGTGTCCACATAGTCGACCAAAAAAAAAAGCCGTCAAGTTTCCCCCGATAAATTTACTATCTTGGGGAAGTCGTTCACCGTCGAGGATTCATTTTTACAGAAAACTGTAAAAAACGGGTTGACAAAAATTTTTTAGGGGCGGCCCTGTTTTTTAAAAATGAATAAAACCAGTGTTTTTAAACCCTTTTAAATTGTTCGAGTACTTATCGATGTTTTAAAGTTTTAAATTTTTGTTTTCAGTGTATGTATTTCAAAATTTGGGAACTTTTAACCAAGTTTCATACCCAACGAAGACACTGTCAGCTACAAACCAATGTTTTTCAACATTTTTCCCCCGACGAATGCACTTCTGGAAAATCGAAAATATCATTGTAAAAATTATTTTAAAACATGGGGGCGCTAAACCCTAGAATTATCAGCGCATGTTGGGGGGGGAAAGGTGGAAGGGGAATTCAGGTCAATTCAGGGGCCCGGGGCACAGAACCAAATTTCCCTTTGATCCCAAAAGCCCCTCACCGCGCAAGGAACCTTTCCCCCGAGGGGAATATGCATTGGGAGCCCCCAAAATCGGGAACTACAAAACTTATTAAACCCCTAAATCTTTTTAACTTGGGGAGGGCTTCCTTCTTGGGGAAAAAGCAACATAGGAGAAAAAATTTTAAATTTTACGAACCTTGGTGACTATGATAAAAAAAACAGTACGAAATGATACTTTTAGGTTTCCCCAAATAGAATATAAAATTTAGAATTATTTCTTTTCCCTTTTTACTTTGTTTAAAAAACCAGGGGGGATGATTGATTTTGGGGCTCTGAGAAAGGGGTTTAAGTGGTCCCGGTTTTGGGAAAGGAACGGGGAAAGAATGTTTTGTTTTTGAAAAAGTGATATTGCTTGCAAAATAAATACTGCTAAAAATGATAAGAATAGGTTTTCCGGGGTTTTTGACAGACTGTCCGGGGCAACGGGTTCGCTCTGTTAAGCTTTAAAAAAACATTACTTGATAGGCTCCCACAGGCGGGGGAAAAAGTTTTCCCCAATAAAATTTGCTCTGCAACCCCGTTTTTTTTTTCTTTAAATTAAAAATTGGTCATTTTAAAGAAAATTTAAAAAGGTTCGAAAAGTTATATATTCAAGGGGTCTAGGTTTTTCTAAATTTTCTGTAAGACATCATTAGCTCTTGAGGAGGACATCGAAGAGAACCTCCCTTCCCAAATTTTTTATGTACTAAAAAGATGACCCGCAAAACATTATCCTAATTTTAACCTTTCTTTTAATGATCTTTTAACCAGTAATATAAAGTTGTTTTTCCAAGAATTAAAAAAGTACTTGAACATAAGAAAGAGGAACAAATGCAACAGGGCCAAATGACCCAAGCGGGGCAGGGCCATTTCCCCCCCCCCCCCGGGAAATTTGCCCCAAAAAAACCCCCCCCCCGGATTTGCCCCAAAACCCACCCCGTCTAGCCCCCCCACCAAAAGGGAAAGGGGCACGGAAACCCCAAACCCCGCAGCACAAGCTATCAGGCCAACTCAAAACCCACCCACACCCCCCATGTATTTATTTTAACCCCATTTTTAAAACCACACAACGGGTTTTTACCTCAATCACGTACCCGGGGAGTTTTTCCCCTCATCCACGACTCTATTACCAAACCCTGTTTCCCCATATCCTTCCCCGAATCTGAAATTTTTTTCCCCTTGAAAACCCCCTTTCTGCGAGCCTGTCTTGGGTGGGAAATTTTTAGCAAACCCGTTTACATCCCCCTTTTTTTATTTCCCTTTTTAAATTTTTTTAAACCCCAAAACATATCCCCCTAAAATTTTAAAAGCCTTTTTGAGATGCAAAATTCAGGACCCCCAAACTTCCCCCAAGGGGAAATTTCTGATACATGGGACCCTCTTTTTCATCCTCCTCGTACTTTTTTCCCCGATCATTTATTCTTCTGTAATACGGCCAAAAATGGCGCATAATCAAAAGAGGCCTAACCAAGGATATATAGAGGTTTTAAAAAAACCGAGGACTTTTATTATTTATACTTCAGATATAACCAAGAATTCTGTTTAGCTTTTTTGCGAAACTTATGCACGTTTTTTGGGTTTTTGATTACTGCAACCAGAACTCCTAAAACCTTTCGAAAACATAGTATTAAGATCACATTATTTATTATATGTGGCATGGTTATTTTCCTGTCCAACATTTTGAACTTTGCATTTAACTAAATTAAAAATGCATCGCCCCCTTCTTTTCCCTCCATTTCATCAGTCTATTAAACATCTTGAGTGCCTGGGGGCGTCATTTGAATAATTGGGGCGGCCTATTTTGGTGTAATCAGCAAATTTGCTTATGTCGCTACTTATTCCTTCATCTATGTCGTTTATGTAAACTGTGAACAACAAGGGGCCCAACACTGACCCCTGAGGAACACAGCTTGTGACGTGCCCCCATTCTGATTTCTCACCATTTATGCAAACTCTCTGCTGCCTATTTGTCAGCCATGTCTCTACCCAGGAAAAAATTTCTCCTCCTATTCAGTGTGCTTAAAGTTTCCTCAATAGCCTCTGATGTGGAACTCTATCGAAAGCCTTAACGAAGCCTATATACACAATATCATTTTCATTACCATGATCGAACTGACTTCTGAGAGTCTGATCCAAGGAAGGAGGAGGAGGAGGCATAAATATACTTTAGAAAATGTCTGGCTTTGAAGTTAGTTGACGCACAATACCAGCGTCTACTGTAAATTAATTTCTTATGTATGTATGTATGTATGTATGTATGTATGTATGTATGTATGTATGTATGTATGTATATCTATGTATCTATCTATCTATCTATGTATGTATCTATCTATCTATCTATCTATATATATATATATATATATATATATATATATATATATATATATATATATATATATATATATATATATATATATATATATATATTAATATATATATATATAATGCTTTCTATGGTATATGGATAATACAAACTGTAAAATGAATTACAGAGAAAATTACAAGACTCCTGCCTGAAAGGCATTATTTCAATCTTATTTTCACAGAGTATTTGAATGAGGATTCGACGAGTCACGAGTGCCAGTGAGCGAGCCAGGTTTGTGTCCTTACGAGCTTGTGGTATGTCTCTCCATGCCATTGCTCGCGTGACTGGCGTCAGCACGTCCACCGTCTTCAGGTGGGTACAGCGCTGGCTGGAGGAAGACAGTGTCAGTTCTACACCTAGCCAACACTCACCTCTTGAACCAAATGTTGCAACTGAGGAAGGAGCAAGTAGTCCCGACACTCCTCAACTCTCAATGACTTGGGATGATAGCAACTACAGGCACCCACAACTTCATCCTAACTCCCATGAGAACGGAATCAACGACCATTCTCCTTCTCAGTCTGTGGACCACTTCTGGCAGTCACTTGCAAAATTCGACCAGCATTTAATATTTTTCCTAATAAATTATCAAAGATTACTCCAGGTGACGGACACAAAATATCTTCCTCAAATTCTGGAGCACGTGAGTTGGAGCTTAAACCGCATGGTCTGTTTCGAAATTCTGAAAAAAACATTTATTCCCCTAGAAATGAAATATATCGCTCAACAAAGACATAAAAAACAGCGTAAATCATCCTCGCTGAGTTGCTAAGTAAGAAAGGAGATATTTCTCAGTTTCACACGGTCTTTCTAAGACAAAATAATTGTAACGGCATTCTCATAAGAAAATGCGTTTTTAATGCTTATATAACGTCGGAAAGTTTTTCTTCTTCTCTTTTTTAGTAAATGTCTACAGGAGAAGGGGTTACTAGCCCATTGCTCCCGGCATTTTAGTCGCCTCATACGACACGCATGGCTTACGGAGGGGTGTTAATGTTGCAGTTTAAAAACTGTAGTGTAAAGCACCCTTCTAGCAAGACAGTGATGGAGTGAATGATGGTGAAAGTTTTTCTTTTTCGGGCCACCCTGCCTTGGTGGGAATCGGCCAGTGTGATAATAAAATAAAATAAAATAACGTCGGAAAAAAAACATTGGCGGATGTGTACAGTGTTGATTTTAGCGAAGCAACTTACGTTCAGTGTTTACGTCACCTGCTGGTTGCTACACTGACATTACAGCTTCTCAGCTACACGAGGGTCATTAAGCTGGAAGCATATTGTTTACTACAGAGGAACAATACTACAATCCCTGGAGTAGGGATTAAACTCTCAGCATATATAAATGCTTTCAGATGAATGTAGCCGTGTATGTGACATGTTAGTTGGTAAACTGAACATAAAACCTATCGAAAAACATGAATCGTGTCACTTATTCATTCTACTCAAGAATACTTTAATTCTGAGGACAGAGAAATTCAGCACCCTCATTCCCAACACCGTTACCTGGCTAAAGATACGTTGATGATATATTGGTTTTCTATCCGAGACGTCTCAATATCCAGGCCCTTCTCAACAAGATCAGTGCAGTTGAACCATCAGTAAAGTTTACACTTGAACTCGAAAATGATGGCAAACTTCCTTTCCTCGACGTTCTACTGTGCAGATCTCCCGACAGTGACAAACTTCTCTTCAAAGTGTATAGAAAACCTACCAACAAGGACGATCTATACACTTTTATTCACACCAAGACACCCGCACTAAGAGAGGAGTCCTCATTGCTTCTTCTTGAGAGCTCTTCGCATCTCCAGCCCTTGTTTCTAGAAGAAGAATGCACTTACATAACACAAGCCTTACACGTCTTCAGTTCCCATCTTTCTTCATCCGAAGATTGCAGACTCAAGGCACAAACTATCCTCAACAAACCGCCCATGGAACAGCCCCCTAAACAGTTCATAGTACTCCCATGTGCGATGTTGCCACGAATACTCGCCGGGCACTTGCTATGAGTAACATCAACGTTTCCACCATAAACACATTATCTATCAAAGACCTCACTACGAAACGCAGCCCCATCCCTCTAACTTCTACAGCAGGCGTCTACACTACCCCCGGGGGGTTCGGTCCCAAAAAAATATGTAGCGGACAGGCAGAGATCTTGCAGTCCCCCTGAATACATCGAAATGCCTCTAACAGGGGCCCGATGTAAGGTACGCCTGTGTCCCCCACAGAGACCCCCAAAGGGGGCTTTTGATGAACTCTTTCTCAATAAACCAGACCTCAAAAACCCCGGACGGTCCCTAAAACCCCTCACTAATGGGGCCGTCACCGACACTATGAACCCCAACACGGGGAAACTACAAAATTTAAAAAACTTTGGCTAATGATATTAAGCAGCCCCAAACCCCAAAAACACAGGAGTCACATGTTTTTAAATCGTCTACCCGTCCTCAATCATAGGAGAGGTTTTTTTGGATAAAGCCTCCCTCGCTGAGCCAGTAGGCCTTCTACATTTGTTCCTCCATTCTTATTTTCTTAGACTTTCCCTCGGGTCACGGCGTCACACCTCACTCCCCGCCGGTATATATAAAATGCCCTTTCAAACTCGGGTATGTTAGAGGTGATAAAGGGGCCCGGGCCGGGAAAAGGGTTTTCTAATAAATATTTTATAGGTTTGCTTACGTGTCTTTCAAAACCCAACTCCCGATACACACACACAAAAACACAACCCCAATAAAACTAACAAATATCCCCTCAAAATTAAGTATTTTGAGATTATTTTTACTGTTAAATTAAAATTTTTTTGTTGTATATACAACGAAAAATAAATCAAATATTGGGGGGGGAAAACAATCCCAAAGGGGGGGAAACAATCCCGTGGGTGGAAAAAATTCCAAAAGGGGAAAAATACCGGGGTGGAACAATCCCATGGGGGGAACAATACCGGGGGGGAACAAAACTGTGGGTAAACATCACCGGGAAACAATACAGTAGGGGAACAATACTGTGGGGGGAACAAAATTGGGGGGAAACAATACCGTTGGGGGGAACTTTACCGTGTTTTGGAACAATACCGTTATGGAACAATCCCCGTGTGGGGAAACCCAATCCCGGTGTGTGGAATACCGTGTATGGAAAAATCCCGTGTGTGGAACAATCCCGGTGGGGAACAAAAACGTTGGGGAACAATACCTTTGTGGGGAAAACAATACCGTGTGGGGAAAACAATCCCGTGTGGGGGACAATACCGTGTTTTGGAAAAATTAACGTGGTGGAACAATCCCCGTTTTGGGAACAATACCGTGTGGGGAACAAAAACCGGGGTGGGGAACAATAACGTGGGGGAAAAAATTCCCAAAAAGAAAACCCCTTTTTTATGGGAACAAAAAGGTGGCCCACCTTTGGCCCAAATTGTAACTTGATGGCCCGTCCTGGACCAATTGTAACTTAAAGGTTTTTTTTTTTCGTCCGGGCCCAATTTTAAACTTGGGGGTTCGCCCTGGAAAAATTTGGTAACTTGATGGCCGCCCCGGGCCCAATTTGAAAACTGATGGCCCGTCCTGGACCAATTGTAACTTGAGGGTCCGCCCCGGGCCCAAATTTGGGAAATTTGAGGGTTTTTCGTTCTGGACCAATTTTTAACCTTGAGGGGCCGTCCTGGACCATTGTAATTTTGATGGTTCTCCGGGCCCAATTGTAGCTTGAGGTTCTCCTGGCCCAAATTGAAAACTTGATGCTCCGTCCTGGACCAATTGAACTTAAAGGTTCGCCCGGGGCCCAATTTTTAACTTGATGGTCCTTTCCTGGACCAATTGTAACTGATGGCCCGTCCTGGACCAATTGTAATTTGAGGGTTCGTTCGGGGACCAATTGTAACTTGATGGCCCGTCCGGGACCAATTGAAAACTTTTTTGGTTCGCCCGGGCCCTTTTTGAGCTTGTTGGTTCGCCCTGGCCCAAATTGGGAATTTTATGCCCCCCCCCCGGGCCCAATTTGTAACTTGATGGTTCGCCCTGGCCCAAATTTTAATTTGGGATGGCCGTCCTGGACTTTTTTAACTTGAGGGTTCTCCTGGCCCAAATTTGAACGGGGAGGGTCCGCCCGGGACCAATTGAAATTTGAGGGTCCGTCCTGGCCCAATTGAAACCCTTGATGGCCCGTCCGGGACCTTTTTTAACTTGGGGGTTTCGTCCGCCCAAATTTTTAACTTGTTGGCCCGGGCCCTGGCCAAATTTGGTAATTTGAGGTTGTCCTGGACCAATTGTAACTTGATGATTCGTCCGGGCCCAAATTTTTTTAACTTGAGGGGCCGCCCGGCCCAATTGAAACCCTTGAGGGTTGGGCCTGGCCCAATTGTAACTTGATGGTCCGCCCGGGAACCAATTGTAACTTGAGGGTTTTCGCCCTGGACCTTTGAAACTTGTTTGGTTCGCCCCCCTGGAACCCAAAGGGGGAAATTTTGAGGGGCCGTCCTGGACCATTGAAACTTAGGGTTCGCCCGGGAAACCAATTGAAAATTGAGGGTTCTTTCCGGGAGTAAGGGTAACTTAAATGGTTCGTCCTGGCCCAAATTTGAATTTGATGATTGCCCGGGACCCAATTGAAAACTTGAGGGGCCTCCTCCCCCAATTTGGAACTTGATGTTCGCCCGGACCTTTTGGTAATTTGTGGTCCGTCCGGGGCCCAAATTTGTAATTGATGGTTCGTCCGGGGCCCTTTTGTAACTTGAGGGTTCGCCCTGGACCAATTGAAAATTTGAGGGCCGGGCCCCTGGACCAATTTTTAAAAAATATGGTTCTTTCCTGGACCAATTGAAATTGGGGGGTTTGTCCTGGGTCAATTGTAACTTGAGGGTTTCGTCATGGCCAAAATTGAAAACCTGTGTTCGTCCTGGACAAATTTTTAATTTGTTTGGCCCGGGCGGGCCCAATTGAAAACTTGAGGGGTTCTTTTCCGGCCCAATTTTTAAAACTTAAAGGGGTTCGTCCCGGGACCTTTGAAACCCTGATGGTTCGTCCTATCCCAAAATGAAACTTGTTGTTCGTCCGGGCCCAAAGGGGGAGGTAATTTTTGGCCCTTCCTACCAAATGAAAATTGAGGGTCTCCGGGGCCCAAACTGAAAATTGGGTTCGTGGGGCCCAAATTGTAACTGATGGCCCCGCCCGGCCCAATTATAACTTGTTGGTTCATCCTGGCCCAAATTGTAACTTGAGGGTTTTCGTCCTGGGTAAATTGGGTTAAATTTGAGGTTCGTCATAAACCCTATTGAAACCCTGAGGTTGGGCCCCTGGACAAATTGAAACTTATGGCCGTCCTGGCCAATTGTAACTTGATGGTTCGTCCTGGCCCAAATTTTTTAATTTGATGGTTCGTCCTGGACCATTTAAAACATGATGGTTCGTCCTATCCCAAAATTGTAACTTAAAGGGTTTCCCCGCCCTGGCCCAAATTGTATGTAACTTTATGGTCCCCCCTGGCCCAAATTAACTTGATGGTTCATCCGGGCCCAAACGAACTTGAGGGTTCGTGGGGGGGCCCAAAGGGTAACTTGATGGTTCTTTCCTGGCCCAAATTTTTCTTAAATGGCCCGTCCGGGACCAGTGCAACTTGTTTGGTTTTTGCCCCGGGGAAAAAATTGTAACTTGAT